CAAAAAAAAAAAAAAAAAAAAAAATGCTTCGTTAACAGAGTCAACAAACATTTGCGCAAGGCTACTCAACTAAAGTAGTAGTGCAAAGATGGTGACAAAAAAAAAAAATCTATGAATTGGCATAGTCTCATTCCAATAAAACTTTACTTACAAAAACAGGTGCCTACTCCTGTACTACTTTGTTACAGGAAAGTATGAATGCTCGATTGTTTTATTTACCAAGTTTTCAAGACGAGTATCCATTATGCTCTACAATAGCAGTGGCAAACCTATGACACATGTTGTTTTTGAGACAAAAGATGTTAATGTAGGAGTTGGTTTTTTCTAAACTAAACCCTCAATATTCAGGTTTAACTGCAGGGTTGGCACTCTGTGATAAAGAAGTCTGTTAAGGGTGGGAGTCTGGGCACTCGTCTCTTAAAGGTTCGCCTTCACTGCTCCCAAAGGTGATCAGTTGAGGTTTACTTTGGGGAAAGGGGGAGGAATGAATCTGACTGAGCCTCATCTACTGCCCCTTACTGGAGCCCAAACAGTTCCACGTAGTCAATGACAACCTCTGAGAAATTGGCTCCTGAATCCTTTTGTCATGACTGCCACACATGATAGTTTCTTCGCTACTTTAGGACGTCCAGACATCCTAGGATCACCTTAACCTTTTCTGTCACCAACAAGGAACCAAACATTTCTCAAGAAGCTTCGGTTGTTTACATAGGAAATATTCCAAGATCGCAATCCAGGCACTAGGTACACCCAGTACTATAGAATGATTCAATGATTCTGTGCCTAAAGAAAAATTTATATATTTACTTATAGAGTTGGTAAAATCTCCCAACGCAGAACAGTTTTATACTTGTCTGAAGCTCATACTCCATTAGATTCCTTAAGAAAATTTGAAAGTCTTTTTTTTTTTTTTGTACTGGGGATCAAACTCGGGACCTTGCAAGGGAAGCAGAGGCACCACTGAGCTAAATCCCTGGCCACGAAAGTCATTTCTGACGGACATAAAACTTGACAATATTTTCTTTCCTGAAGTATCCGAAATCTACTAGTCCAATTTCTTCTATCACAAAGTGATGCTGTACAGACCTAAAGATAAATTTTTTTAAGTTGCATGATTTTTTTGCCCACATGCCTGTTTTTCTTTCTTTTTAAAATTCCATCAGTTCTTCAATGCATTTAAGTGTTTCTGGCTGTGGATGGATAGTCACAGATGTACAAACATAAACTTTCCATTAAGTTGCTTTAATTTTCTTTTTATTCAGAAGTTTTCTTAAAAAGATTATTTAATGTGTTCCCTTGTCCCCTTCCATCACCAGAGATTTCTATTATAAATACTTTGTATCTGTTGTCCATACTATCTGTCATTTTCTCTTGAATTCTTATACTTTCTGATTTTTATAATGTTGCTACCTTTATCTTCAGTGTCTCTGAAGATAGTTCAGGTTATTAAGACATACCACTTATTGAGTAATTTCTAATATTGCCTTTCTTTTCCTTTTTTCTGGTACCGAGCATCAAACTCAGGAGCTTGCCAGAGCTAAATCCCCTGCCCTCTTCTCTTTTCTTTTGCTGGCAGGGATTGAATTTCAGGCCTCACACGAAAGTGTTCATTTCTAAATAAATTTTTACTTGTAATTCTCCTCAGTTCATTTCAAAATTTTTTCCAATTCTGTTTTATGCTGGTTTTACATATCAAAGGTTTGGGGGAATTTTTTTTGTTTGTACCAGGGTTTGAATCCAGGGCCCTGTGCATGCTAGACTATCGAGCACTGCAGCACTTTTATACCTTCAGACCTTTTCAAGATAAAGGTCTGCTAACTTTCTCTTGGCTGCCCTGGAATTTGCAAAATCTTCCTGCCTCACTCTCTCAAGCTGGAATTAGTTATGTAATACTACACTCACCCATGTCTTATATTTTCTCAGTATCTTCTAGCTCACTCTGAAATAGTACATCTTTCTCTTTACAATACCTGGGCTGAGGTGTACCTCAGTGATAGAGCACATGCTTAGCAAGTGAAAGGCTATGGATTCAATCCCCACCACAGGAGAAGATACAAGATGTAATCCTAAAACTCCACAAAACCCACACAACTAAAAGTACACAAGTTTATGAGGACTGAAAAAATGTATTCTAAGGTTAGAAAATAAAAAACTGGAAATAACGTGAATATAGACTTTTAATTTTGGTGGTTTTTAAAATCAGATTTTAGTAAAAAGATGGCAACAAACTGGAATCTTTTCTAAAGGAAATAGGACAGGTTTAGAATAGTGGAGAAAGGATGAGCAGGTCTAGGGGTCAGACAACAGAGCTGCTTAAAGCTCCAACTGAGGGCGTTGGTCCTGGGTAATACAGATAAGGGAGACTTTCTCACAGAGGAGTCACACAGTAAGCCGTCCTCTGGAAATCAGGAGACTATGCAAAAATCAGAGCTGGAGAAAGGGAAGAAAAGGAGGACACAAAAATCAACCAGAAGCTAACTACTTCTGGTGTGTTGGGTACAAGGGGCTAAAAAGGCCACTGAGACAGATACAATGGATCACACAGGTAGCATGCTAAGAAGGGAGATTTTCAAAAAGACCAGGAATTCAAGGTAGACAGAACAGGGGTAAAATAAAAAAATAAGAAAGAAAGAACACAAATAAATATATCTTTAAGTAAAAACTTAAAAAAAAAAAAATTCCAAAAAAACAGCAAAATCCATTATGGCTGAGTTGACTAGATTCATTGTAGTTTACTGCACTTGTCTTTCCACTTTTTGAGTACATTAAAAATTTCCATAATAAAGTCTTATGGGGGGGTGGGGATTGAATTCAGGGAGCACCAAGCTGAACCTTATTTATTTTTGAGGCTGGGTCTTACTAAACTATCCAGGCTAGCTTTGAACGTATGATCCTTCTGCCTTAGCCTCGGAGCAGCTGGGATTACAGGTAGGCGCCAACATGCCCAGTTGCATAATAAAAATTTTAAATTTCTTAAAAGTGTAAGTCTGAACATTCTTCAGGATCCCTTATTCTCTTCTTGGGTCTAATCTTCAAGCATAACTAATACTTCATAAAAATCTATCTGAAAATAAAGCCTCACAAAAAAAGTTTAATAAAAAGTGAATTATTTAAATTCTTACCTTGACTTTTTTCTGTATTATCTCCTTTTGTTTCCTCTTCTTTAACAGGAGGACTAACTCTGGGGGTCCTGCTTTGTCCCTGCACCACTTCTGCTAGCAATTCTTCCTGAGATGTTCGAGTTCTGGGAGCAACTGGAAGTGTCTGTTTCTGAGGGACTTTTAACACAAAATTAAGAGAAATGGAAATAAATGAACATCAGAACACGTCAAAACTCAATAGTTAACGTTTCACAGATGCCTCTATGGGTTTAGAACACTTAAGGAGCTCAAAAGAATCTGAAGACTACCACCTCAGCCTTTCTTACAACATTCCTGAGACAGATATCCAACTTACTGCCTACACATATGTAAACAATGTCCACACATTTCAAGGTATATGCCACAAAGAGTACGGCACATATGTATTCATTTTTAACCAAATGCACCTTGGGCTTTGCTTTATGAACTTATATAATTCTGAATTGTAATTAGGTAATCTAGATAAAGAATGTTTCAAAGCTATTTCTTAAAGCTCTGGAATCTCCAAGTCGAGCATGGTGACTTACACCTGTAATCCCAGTACTCTGGGAGGCTGAAGCAGGGGAATCACAAGTCCAGCCTTTAGGCAATTTAGCAAGACCCTGTCATCTCAAAATAAAAAATTAAAAGGAGCTGGGGGTGTGATTCAGTGTGAAAGTCCCTGGATTCCATCCTCAGTGTCCTAACCCTCACCCCAGCAAAAGACCTGGGAATCTATAACTATTATACAAGGTCACAGAAATTCTCTAAATTTGTTAGGTCAAGAATGGGCCTTTGCCTGATAACCCTTCCGTTACATGCCAAAACTAGTTTAATTTATGTTCACAGTTAAATTAGGGATGAAGGAGACAGATGATTAGCATGATCAAAAGCTGATGGCTAATCGTTCAGTTTAGGAAGGGGTGAAAGATTCAAGAGAGAATGGAAAGCAGAACAATACACCAAAAAGCACTGATCAGATCCACAGCAAAAACTAATCTGAGAGTTGGTGATTACCATTAGCTTGTTGCCACAGAGGCTTAAACACTGTGTACAGCAATGGAACATAAAGCACAGAAATGGGACAGAACTCGACACTACAAAATGGCACCCATCATCTGTACTTCAGGATCAGCTTTCTGCAAGAAAGTCTATTATTTTTTGGAATCAGGGAAGGAAAGTTTGTTTTAAATACATGCAGTATCTTAATATTCTGTCACAAAATAATGATGAGCTCCTATTAGTATTATGATTATTAGGGCAAGGAGATCACAAACGAGTTCTCTCCCTCGCTGGGGACGGAACCCAGGGCCCTCATACCTAAAAGGCAAGTGCTCTACCAATGAGCTACATCCCCAGCCCTATCGTTATTACTTATTATCATTATTACTTATTATTATTATCAACATCATCATTCTGATACAGAGTCTTACCAAGTTGCCTAGGCTGGCCTCCAACTTGCAGTGCTACAGCCTCAGCCTCCTGAGTAGCTAGGACTGCAGGTATGTGCCACTGCAATGGCTTCACTTTCCAACATTAATGGATTCCAAGATAAAGAAACAAATCTGCTTGTTTCCAACTTTTAAACAAATTTCTTTTGGGGACCGAGATGAAGCAGGTGGCAGAAAAATCGCCTAGCATGTACAAGCCCAAGTTTGATCTCCAGCATCACACAAAAACAAAACCAAAAACACCACAAACTTTCCTAACTTCAGCTTCTTATCCAATTTTGCTACCTTTTACCTAACATAAATTCATAACTAATGTCAAATTTAGACTTATTAATATGAAAGTGTTTTTTTGTTTTTTTGGTACCAGGAATGGAACTTGGGACCTCGTACTTGTGAGGCAGGCAACAGCACCACTGAGCTAAATCCCGACCTGAAAGTCTCATTTTTTAATTAAACTTTTAAGCTAGGATTGGTGGTACATATCTACGATCCTATCTCTTCAGGAGGCTGGGCAGTAGTATTGAAAGTTAAAGGGCAGGACTAGGGATGTAGCTTAATAGTGCCGCTGCCTGCCTCACAAGCTCAAGGAACCAAGTTCCATCCCCAGTACCAAAACAAAAACAAAAAAAGTTAAAGGGCAGCCTGGGCAACATAAGAACAAACTTGTCTCCAAATAAAAAGGGGTGGGGTATAAACGAGCATTAGAGCGCTTCACTAGCATAGCAAAGCCCTGGGTTCAATCTCTGGTATCACCTAATAAAAAAATTTAAAAACCCTACCTTTCAAGTCTGTGTATTATCTGCTTCACACACTTTGGAATGAGGATGTAAGAGGTACTACATGTTGCTCAAAGAACTAAACTCCAGTGACATTGTCTCAAACTGATCAAATTTCCTTCTAAAACCATTCTCTATAGAGGAACTTCACTTTGGTCTTGACATTTGACAGACACCTTACAGCACAACTCAGGAAGCATTTCGAACTTACTGAATGATCTCTTACCCAAAGTAAATACTACACTTAAATTACCTGCAGAATAGTTGGTTGTTTTTGTTACAGATTCTTGAGCTTCAGATATAGCCTTCAAAATCAGATTCTTGTTAGCTTGTTTACAAGGTGGAAGAGAAGGTCTAAAAGAGTTTTAAAAAGGTATTTTTACATTTTAAATTTCAGTTCTTTACATTTCAGTTCTTTACATCCATTATGCCTTTACTACAGCTTCTCTACATTTCAAATAGACAAGCTGTAGTTTTTAGAAAATGTCAACTAGACTGGAAGAAACCTTAATAACTTTTTAAAATAACCAATCTTGATGTTTTTCTCTCTCATGAAATTAGTTTTTAATTCTCTGCAATTCTCTACAATGTTAACTAGGTTCATTCTCAGTAATATGTATTTCTAAAAATTTCAGTGGAAAGTCAGGAATGGTAGTCCATGCCTGTAATCTGAGCACTCAGGAGGCTGAGGCAGGAGGATCGCTGTTTGAGGCCAGCCTGTGCTACACAGTAAGTTGAAGGCCAGCCTGAACTAATAGCAAGACTGTCTCAGAAAAATAAAATGAATGGAAAAGTCTTACATGGGATTACATTAGATGTTTTCAAGATTGTCCTTTTTCAGAAATCCAGAGAGGGTCAGGGATATAGCTTAATGTTAAAACCCTTGCCTAACATGCAAAAGGCCCTGGGTTTGATCCCCAAGATGAACAAAAGAAAAAGAAACCCAGAGGACTCCATCAGGCAGTTACAGCCACCGTGCTCACACACCTCCTTTCTGGTTTTGCTGGCACTGACACGCTGCTGGACACACTTCCCGTGCGGGAGCCGTAATCATCATCTTCCTCCTCCTCCTCTCCATCATGACTGAATTTTTTTACTTTAACAACTGAACTTACCACAGGTAACTTCCTCTTTCGAAAATTTTCTTCCTGCAATTAGATAAGCTGATGCTTACCTAGCCTCAGAAAATAAAGTTATATCACATTTTCTTCATTTAAAAAAAGATAATTGTATGAAGAATTCACAGGGTAGGGGTCAGGGATTTGGCTCAGTGGTTCTGCCGCCTGCTTTGAAGGCACAAGCACCTGAGTTCAATTCCCTGTCCCCCCCCCCCCCAA